TTTGTATTAAAGGGTTTTTAAATTGCACCAATAAAAGACCTAACATAACATCAGCCGATTTTCCAACATGTTTAGTATATAAATTTAAAAATATGTATAAAACAAAAATTATAGAGAAATTTATAAAAATATATTTGCAAAAATTAACCCAATTTGAATTCGAAAAGGTAAAAATTTAACTTTCAAATTAAATCGATGTTATATTTATCCAGCGGAGTAGAAATGCAAGCCCATTCCATTGTAAATGAACTTTTTGCTGATGAAATGATTTCATTTTAGTTCAAGATAAACGAAACCATATGACACACCAAACAATCAACAAATTGGTAGAAATCAATTGCATGTTTTCAATTGGAACTGAACATTTCATTTTGAAAGACCGTTACTTTTGCATGTGTTATTAATGTTGTTTTAAATAGTATTTCCTCTTAAGAAGTATTAATTTACGTTTTAAAAATATTAGAATAAAAAAACACATGTACGCTTAGACCACATGGCTGACGTGAAACTTGTTATGGACAATTTAATTATAATTGATAATCATAATGTGGGTATGTGATATTGTTTAGGTTCCCTTAAATATTATATATTAGGGTGTTTCAAAAAAAAAATCAATAATTTTTTTCTAATGGTGTTGAAAAATTAATAGTACATTAAAAAAACAAAAATGTTGGCGCCTATTTGAGCCCTTGATATTAATATTAAGGTTTGCCCCAATTCATTTGTTGTTTTTCCATTTCAATAACACAGGAATTTTTATTTTTTTAATTTTGAATTTTTATAATTTTGGAAAGGTTTATTTTCGCAACACATAAGCGAGATGAGATATAGACAATTTCACGCTCTACAAAAAACATCTAAAGGTCAGTTCTTCAGATCAACCGTTTCAAAGATATCAGCGATCAAAAATAACCCTTATAAAAAATTTCAAATATTTTCAAATAAAATACAAAAAAATATTTATGCCATATATAATATAAATAATCTGAGACTGTAATTTTTTTTTATTTATATATATATATATATATAAATAAAAAAAAATTATATATATAAACGTCACTTTATTCATAGTGATGTGTAATATTGAAAAATTGCACAGTTAGGGAATTTCATGGGATTACCAGTTGTGCTAGGGAATTTTGTCAGAACTGTCAATGTCAAATTAAAAAATTCAAAAAGGATAAAAATATTGTGCTGTAAATAAAGTAGTGTACATTCCTCAAATGGCACTTTTTTTACTACTATTATCAAACTTGATGAACCGACTAAAGTTTGCAACAGTGTTTTAAGTTACTTTATGCACATGCTGAAGGTAGATTTAAGTTAAAATTGAAAAAAAAATGAGGTTATAACCGTCGAACAGATGTCAGATTAAACAAAATTGAGGTCAAAAACACTTGTCAGTTGTCAAATGTCAGATAAAATGTCAAATAAAATTATGAAAAATATTACTTTGAGTTTGTCGTAGATAAAGACTTACTTAGTATGGTATGCAATTCGTTTTATACACTTTTCAAGAAGACTTCATTATAAATTTGCTCCATAAGCATCGCTTGTGCATAATTAAAACGCGAAACTTAAATGACGTTTATAAAAGTTGTTTTAGATAATAGGTATCACACAAGAGACAAAATACTAATAACAGTTGCAAAAATGGCGAATGCGCCGGGATATTAACTAAGGGTTTTATGATAAACATGGAGATAAATTATGAATTTTGGAAAGGTTATTGACTAATAAAATATTAAAAATTAATTAAAAATTAAAATAAATACTAGGGTGAGCCAAAAAAACTAACCTATCGGATTTATGGGTTAAAATGAACCTACATACCGAGCAAAAAATTTCTCAATTTTAAAAGGTGTCGGTGAGCATTCTAACTTTTCCATTGAAATAACACGTAAAAAAATCTTTTTTCATTAAAAAGACTATAACTGAACTGCAGTTTTAGTGATTTTTTACACTTTTCAAAGCTTTCAAACATACGAATTTTTGAATTAAAAAAAATAATCCTGGTATAGATTCTTTGTGAAATTTTATGCTCTACAAGAATCCGCGACGAAAAAAATTTTATCTCAAACGGTTCAAAGTTATAGTCTTTTTAATGAAAAAAGATTTTTTTACGTGTTATTTCAATGGAAAACTTAGAATGCTCACCGACACCTTTTAAAATTGAGCAAAAAATTTTGCCTTGCAGGGAAATTTTTTGCTCGGTATGTAGGTTCATTTTAACCCATAAATCCGATAGGTTAGTTTTTTTGGCTCACCCTAATAAATACATAATGTAAAATATACTGCAGTATTAGGAAAACATTGTTATTTATTAAAAAGGGTCATGAATTCTTATTTTTAAACATTCAGAAAGAATCATATAATTGTAGACCCACAAATCATTAAATTATGGCAAGATTATAGTGGTATATTATGCATCAAGTTTTTTCAACTCCATTTTGGTCACAACTTTTAATTATCTGAAATAGAAGCAGTTTTTTACAGTGGAACTGTAGAGGACGTATGAAATTTGTAATGCTTTATCGGCAAATACTATTGTATTGCCAGTAATATTAACGTGCATATAAACCTTTTAAAGATCCTGTTGAATAATTTCGTATTTTTGTATTGATCACCCTCTAAGACTTCTTCTGTTTTTTGGTGACACCAACAATTTTAAAACGTTAAATGTAAAGAAATATATCACTTTTTTAAACCTTTTTTTCACTGATGCAATTTTATTTAAAATTACCTTAATTTCTCTAATAACTAATCTATAAGCACTATAATAAAACATTCTAGAACATACATTCAGTAAAACTGTTAAATAACATTTACGTTCTTACTTAAATTATTGCAGTATTATTTTATAAAACAATGGTAAATGTATTTCAATTCATTTAAGAAAAAATAAACACAATATTATGATATAAAAGGATGTACAGGGTGTCAAAAACTTTTTCCTAAATATAATTTACGTTAGAATTCTTACGTAGATACATGCATTATTCTTTCTTAAAACAATTGTAAATTAATTGAGATACATTTTTTTAAATCAACATAATATTATATGATATGATATGATATACAGGGAGTTCCGAAAATCACTGGACCAAACAAAAGGGATCGATTTTTTGCAAAAATTTAAGACAAAATATACTGTACCTTTTTTTTGAATTCGCTAAATTGCAGGATATATTTCATTTTTAAAGCCACCAGTAAGAGCGCAGTTTTTCTGCTCTATACGAAAAAAATAAAACAGTACCCATTGAGGCGCACATGGGACAAAAATAACCATTGCTGTTGTCGAAGTAACCCGTGAGGTTTTATTAGAAATTATATGTATTATGCTCCACACCTCAAAGTCCCACCACGTGATTACATAGTATGTAGTCACGTGGTACATGTAGTACATACGGAACGCAGGCTGTTGAAAATTTGGCATTTAGGAAAGGCTTTTCAGGATATGTATCTGTCAAAGTATAGTAAACGAAAGAAATAATATTATGTTTAGGTGTTAAAAATGTATAAATCTTTATAACATTACAATAACAATGGTTGGTTTAAGAATTTAGGAATATAAATACTGCATTTAATGAAATTCTAAAGTGCATGGTGCCAAATAAGTAATATTTTTGTGCATTTGGTCCAAATATCTGGTTTTCTCCATAATATATATAATAATGCATGTATCTACATAAGAATTCTAACGTAAATTATATATATAATATATATATCTTATTAAAAAAAAATCTAGCTTCTCTCTTATGGAATAAGTATATCAGTATTAAAGGTAGGTTAATATATTATAACAAAAATATCATCCAATTTTGTAATTTTAAGGTTAGAAAAAATTATTTTGACCAAAATAAATAAGTATTATGGATTATTTGAAAGACTGTTTAATATGGTATTCAAAAATGGTAGTTTTTCTAATCCAGCTTAAAGTATACCTACATAAAGTTTTGTCAATACAAATAGTTATAAAGCTTCGAGTGAATTTGATCTACATCGAAAAATCATTATAACTTTAAAAATTTTAATAAATCACAATTCATGGGAGTATTTAATATTTTCACATTGCAAGTTTCTCTAAAAATTGTTTGTTTGCTTATAATCTAACTTAAAGTAAGTATTCCGAGAGGTATGCACAAGTTTTGTCGTTAGAAGTATAAAAGCTTCAATTTAATTTGAACTATATTCTACAATTTTTAGTATCCCTATATTTATTTATGACCATATTAACACACTCTTTCAAATAATCCACTTATTTATTTTGGTCAAAATAGGTTTTTCTACAAAATTAGATGATATTTTTTGTTCTTATACATTAACCTACCTTTGATACAGATATTCTTATTTCATAATAGAAAAGTTAGATTTTTTAAATAAATGCTGTTTAGTGTAAACTATTTTATGGAGAAATGTAGACCCAATGCACAAAAATATAACTTATATTGCAACTTACACTTTGGAATTTCATACAATGCAGTATTTATATTCCTAAATTCTTAAACCAACCATTGTTATTGTGATACTATAAAGATTTATTAACTTTTAAAGCTTAAACATAAGCGGTAACACTATAAATATTATCTCTTTCATTGACTATACTTTGACAGATACATAACCTGAAAAGCCTTAAATGCCAAATTTTCAAAAGACGGCGTTCCCTACGTGGTCACGTGGTGGGACTTTGAGGTGTCGAGCATAGTACATTAACATTGACGTTGACGTTGACATTGTTTGCAAAAGACGCTGAGCATTGGGACACCCTTAATGACGACCTTAAAAAACTCCTGCAATTCTGAAAATTCTAAATGGTAAGGGAGATATTTGAAAGGAATCCACCCCCTTTTACAAGTTTTGTTTGATCTGGTAATTCTGGGACACCCTGTATAAATTAGGTATTTTATATTACACAATGTACAGTTAGCATGTTACTTTTGGCTGATATTTTAAAATTCTAGTTTATTTTGTTAAAAAATAGTATTAAGAATGTAACTCACATTTCTTGACTTTCCTCGTCCCATGCCAATATTCTGGTCAGTTCGAAGGCGCCGTGGGTCAGAGGGCGGACTTTGTTGTTGTAAAGCTCGCAAGCGTGCATGAAATGCCCATTATCGCCGTCTTTGACCGGCAACCGCACGATTGCCTTGGTGCCGTTTTCATTGAAAACCGGATGAAAGATCGGCTCTGTCCAGCCGATGTGCTCTGCCTCAATGTGAAACTGAAATGAAGGAAAATACTATTAAATATTGGCCACAAAATAGAAAAAAAATGTCAGTCACTAAATTATTTACATAATATAACGAATGTATTTTTTTTATTAACATAGAAACGAGATACAAGAAAAGCTGGAGTTATCCAATGGTGCTTATTTAAAAAAAAATAGCCAAACAATATTTGTTTACACAGTAAGAAAATATTTGGTAATTTACCAAATATTAACGAGATTTTATGTTAATCCAGGTCCACATTACTTTATGTTTTTATTTATTTATTTATTAAATATAACACTGTATCATACTTTAACTAATTGAATAAGTAGTTTGTAATTATAACAAACATTTTGTAGATTTAATAACAAAATCCTATCAATAATTTAACCATAATTCTTGTAATTTTAAAAAAGGACCTTATTTTACAAACCTTTTTGTAGCCAAACAATATGTGTTTACCAGGCCCGGATCTAGGGGGGGGCAAGCCGGGGCACTTGCCCCGGGCGGCAACTTAGGGGGGCGGCAAAATGAACCTCTTGATAATATAAATTTTTAGTTTTACATTCCCATTTGTATTAAAAAAAAAAAATACATTTAAAAATCTATTTGGGTTCCCTTTATATAGGGTGTGGACACAAAAGTAGTTGTACTTAAATTTCGCGGTGGTTTAAAGAGCCGAAACGACGCGTCGCGACGGTGGCGACCGGTCGGCCCAAAAAGTGGGATAGTACGATAGTACGGGTGTAATTCGCCATACAAAACGAGGTAATCGAGGTATTGGGTAACACGTGCAGATACCAACTTCTGCATAAAATTAAGGAAGAAAAATATTTTACCATCATGTTTGACTGTACCCCTGACACCTCACACACCGAGCAAATGAGTCAAGTAATTCGGTCGAAATTGATACTGAAAGTTGTTCAATTAAAGAAACCTTCATTGACTTTATCGAGGTATACCTCTATAGAGTGAAATACAGGGGAATATTTGACCAGTCAAATTCTGGAAAAGTTGAGAAACGATGGGTTAGATATTCAGCAGTGCCGTGGCCGATCTTATGATAATGGCTCCAAAATGGAGTAAAGGCGTTGAAGCAAGAATTTTGCAACAAAATAAACTGGCCGAATTTGTGCCTTGTATTGCGCATTCGTTAAACCTTGTGGAAATGCATGCCGCGTTAGCCTCTAAAGAAGCAGTAAAATTGTTTGGGGTGGTCCAGTCAATTTTTAACTTTTTTGTAAGTTCGACAAGTCGATGGTGTCTTTTAAAGGAATGCACCAAGACAAAGCTGCAGGGCTCTAGCCAAACCAGGTGGTTTGCAAAGTATCAGGCCGTAACAGCTCTTACCAACAACCTTATAGATATTGTTGGAATATTTAAAAAAATGAAATTCGATGAAATGTGCTCCCCTGATACAAAGATTGAAGCGAGCAATCTTCATAAAAATTTGGCAAATTTTAATTTTATTCTTAATCTCATTGTTTGCAACAATATACTTCGGGAAGTTAACAGAGTAAACAATGAGATTCAGAAAAAAGATATACAGCTATCGCTCTCGATTGACCTAATGAATAGGCTAACTCGAACATTAAATCGAATGCAGAAGACACCGATTGAAAATTGGAAAAAGGAGGCAAAGTTAATTGCAGAAAAAATTAATGTGGAACCGGTTTTGCTATCCAAACGTGTACCCAAAAGAATATTTGGTTCAGAAGATGAATCAAGGATGTTAACTGTAGATCAGAATTTTACGAAAGATCTAAATTTAGTATTTGACAGACTGGTAACTAAACTTTCTACCAGAATTAAGAGTACCAAGACTCTTAATTCCTCTTACTTCATTCTTGAATGGAAAATAACTGAAAAAGCTTTCATCAGAGGAACTGAAAAAACATGGTATCGATCTTGCTTTAAAATACAGCAAAGATTTAAATGCCACAGATTTTTGTCTTTCAAGACCAATTTTTAAATATATTTAAAAATGCCAATATAACTACAGAAATGAGTGCTCTAAGTTTGTTGCAGAGGATGTATGCAAATAATTTGGAAGAAGCATTTCCAAATATTTGTATTGCGTTGCTCATATATTGTACACTCCAAACAACTTCCGCCAGTTGTAGATGCATTTGCAGAAAAAAAAGCAAGCAAAATTAGTTTTTAATGTTGTGTATATATATTAAAATAAAGTGTACTTTTTATTTATTAAATCTTACAATTGAGTTTTATTTGAATAATCTCCAAAATGCAATAAAAAATAATTGATATTTCATCATTGTTTTAAAAAATTTAAAAGGGGCGGCAAATTTGACTTTTGCCCCCCATTTAAAAACTTCTAGATCCGGGCCTGGTGTTTACACAGCAAGAAAATATTTGATAATTTACCAAATATCAACCAGATTGCTTTATGTTTTTATTTATTTATTTATTTATATATTTATTAAATATAACACTGTATCATAGTTTAACAAAACAGTTTTATAACTGGTACAGTCAAAATCATATTAATTTTATAAGTAGTTAATTTTAATCGTCCATTCCATTATATAATTCTTACTATTTTCAATAATCATTTCCACAAATCCATTTTAAAAACTTTGCTTTAAAATAACTCAAATTTGAATTTTTGTACAGAAAATTTTACATGTTAAGTTTACAACAAACTGTAATCTGTTAACTAATTGAATAAGTGGTTTGTAATTATAAAAAACATTTTGTAGAATTAATTAAAAAATCCTGTCAATAATTTAACCATAATTCTTGTAATTTTAAAAAAGGACCTTATTTTATAAACCTTTTTGTAGCCAAACAATATTTGTTTACACAGTAAGAAAGTATTTGGTAATTTACCAAATATCAACCAGATTTTATGTTAATCCAGGTCCACATTACTTTATGTTTTTATTTATTTATTTATTTATTTATTAAATATAACACTGTATCATAGTTTAACAAAACAGTTTTATAACTGGTATCGTAAAATCATATTAATTTTATAAGTAGTTATTTTTAATCGTCCATTCCATTATATAATTCTTACTATTTTCAATAATTATTTTTACAAATCCATTTTAAAAACTTTGCTTTAAAATAACTTAAATTTGATTTTTTGTACAGAAAATTTTACATGTTAAGTTTACAACAAACTGTAATATGTTAACTAATTGAATAAGTAGTTTGTAATTATAACAAACATTTTGTAGATTTAATAACAAAATCCTGTCAATAATTTAACCATAATTCTTGTAATTTTAAAAAAGGACCTTATTTTATAAACCTTTTTGTAGACCCAGTAACAAAAGTATTTCTTGAAAATTTGGAATTTAAATGAAAAGAAATGTTGCTTTATTAATCAATTTCCTAAACAAAAAAATTAACACATACCTACATAAATGAACAAAAAAATAACATACACACAATTAAATAACCAACCATTCTGAATTTATCAAATTATAAACAACTTTGGTATAATATAATGATCAGTCAACTTTAACCCACTTTACTGTATCCCCGAATTTAAGTTTGAAAACCAGTAATGGCATCTTTTTTTGGATACTTCGCACTTTGCACACTCGTTAAATACGTATAAGAAATCCGAATAACAATAATAACAGATTTCTGGTAATATATTATAAACACTCTGGACAGTTGTTCAAACACGTTACGAATTAGAATAAAGTTAGCAGAAACATAAGTTGCAGACCCTGAAATCATTTGAACTTGTTTGATTGACTGATTGACTTTTTCAACGAAATAATTTGTTAAACATTAACAAAATAATCTGTAACCTTTGAAATTAACAAAATGCTTACAAAGTTGCATACTCCCTTTACAAAACTTTTGGTAAAATATTTTTCTTTGTTAAAATAATTACAAACATTTTTAGAAAATAAAATAAACCAACTACAAACTCATGTTAACAAATCTGATTTTTATAACAGTGTAAGTTTAAAATAATCATTATTTTAAATTATAAAACAAATTGGATTTTGTCAAAATGTCAATTATTCAATGATAAATGTTGATAAATAATAATAAATATTTAATGCAATAAATTTGTTTAATAAATTAAAGATACATAGTGATAGGATAATTAAAACAAATAAATTAATATTTTATTGAAAATATTTAAACTGCTATAGGTAGTTAAAATATTTCAAAATTCATTAGGGTAAATATTTTATAGCACTGAATCCAATTGTTTTACTTTTAATTTGATATAAATAAATAAACACTTTAATAATTTAAATATGAAACGTATAGTCGCAACGTGGCTTTATAAAATGGATTTATGCAATGTTGCAACTTTGGTAATGGAATAATTTAGGATAATTTGTTCTAGTCGAAATTGAATTCGCTACAATCTGTATTTGGTTAATTTCGTTAATGTTTAATTATGGTATAGCAAAATTTAATTTCATATTTTATTTGTTAATAGTTCGCAGTTAAATTTAGTACAAAATAAATGTTTATAATACTGCAAACTTAAGTATATTAATATTATCTCTATCAGACTATTTAAGGAGGTTGTCAACGTTGGAATGAAATGCTTTAAATTTAAAATTTAAATATTTAAACACTCACCGAAAGTTTAGGTTTAGAGAGTTGCCGCATTTTAAACAGCAATTGCTTACTACGTTATTTGTAATTTGTACTACAATAAAAAGGTGGTCTGGTATTATAGAACTTTTTATTGGGCTCTTTTTTCGGTAAAATGCTCATGAAGAAGAATTGATGAGACAGCACAATAATTTTTTTATAAATCAGTTCTGCTTAAATGGAACAAGATAAAAGCTTTCGCAATTTTTTTCAAAGAAGATTGCGACTTAACAAAATTTATATAAAAATGTATGTATAAAATTTTTTTATATAAAATCCCAAAAATGAATATTATTAAAAAAAAAGATAATAAATTAATTTAAGCCTAATTATTGATTAAATCTTATCAATATATCGAAATAATTTGTAAGCGATTTGTAATTTTTTTTGGGTTACAGATTATTTTCTTAAT